CAGCTGTAAACAAAAAGCCGCCATTGTTTTTAATGCGCGCGCGCTAATCACGCGTGAAATTATGCGCAGTAAGGATGCGCAATGCAATACTGGAGAATAACCTTAATACGTCAGTTCCGATTCCGCAAATCAAACTAATTTTCACATGAAAGGTTTTGCACGAAGAATCGTTTTGAAACAGAAACACAAGGTAGCTCGGAAATAGCCTATTGGTGATACAGAAGTCTCCTTAATTGTTAAGAGGACTTCTGTTACCCGTTCAACCAGTTCTTCCCTTGCATTAATTAGTCGGTCTTGGATCTTAATCTTACCTCGCGGCCTTGTAGGTATCGTTATCGGTTTTGGTGTCGTGGTTGGGATCGGTTTAGTTGTAGGCACTTTGAAGGAAAACAAACGCTAGGTGAGATTAATTCACCACTCATTGTAACAAAACAACAAAATGGATACTAGAGCGGTTTTCAATTGAGTGTTATAAAAACAAAACCAAAGTATTCGTTCTGGCCAATCACAGAGGACGGAGAAAATCCAGTGAGCCTATCAAAACTCGAAGTAATTGCATGTAGCTGAAGCAAAGCGCGGGAAAACAGGTGCAAACGAGTTACGATTACTTTTAGTTTTACTTCTGCATATCTGATTGGATGAAAACGTGGCGTGAGTTTTTTTAAAGCCAATCGTGTAGCGTCAAAACCAATTATTTTTCGACACTCAAATGAAAACCGCTCTATCATAACATGCCCTCAATTGCGTTTTCACTATTTCCAGTTTCAATTCTATTGTTAGGTCAAGCGGACGTCTTTCTGCTAAGCAACCTCATCATTCCATCCTGCAGACAAGGGTATTGACTCGAATCTCATCTCTGAGATACTGAAGGAGCCGCCTCTCGAAAATTATTAGTAAACGATTGTTTTTTCATATGCATAGCGCAATTACGGTAATTGAAGGTAACGTCTACTTCTCGCATTACACAAAACAGCGTTTACAATTAATCCGTTTACAATTAATTTCTTGTGAAACACGGATAATTGCTTTCACGGTAGTGAGACGTTCGGCTCGTACTACACTTACAGAATTAGTATAAGTAATCAAATAGTGGCGCGTGAAATTAGGAAATAATTAGAATTTTGACAAAACGCAACAGGAATCATTTCCTAATTTCTCGAGTCAGTACCATTTGATTACCTTATTACGCTTACGATTGCGGGCTTGTGACTGGCTTATTGTATTTTATTGTATTTCACGTAAAATTGTAAATTAACGCTGAAAGTTCGCGCCAAAAATAAGGCGTAATTTTTCAACCAGGATATTACGTTACGCATAAGCACTTGCCACACATACAACTACTTACACGGCCTGAAGCACGTTTTACTAGCCGCCAAAATTTGTTTCCGGTTTAGCGCACGACTGTAGATTTGCACACAGAAAATCCTTCCCTTGAAGTACCGTTTGTCACCACGACGCGCACCAATTCTGATTGGATAGTTCGTAGCCAATCGGAATCGTCCAATACTCTTCACCACAAGCAACCTCGAGTTCACCCATAGTTTGGCAACACCACTCTTGTAGTCGTATGTAGCACCGATGTAATTCCAGGCTCTGTACCGTATCTTTCTGCTCGTGACGACCACTGCTTTGGTAAACACTCCATCCCTGCGGACGAACCGTGCAAATAACGTGCGTGGTCCAACCATCCACAAGTGAACGCCCCATCCGGGACCTGGTCTGTAGTTGACGATAGGACCTTTGATGTCCTCGTGATAAACCCAGGTCAGAATGGAAATGGAGGCCACGGTGTCAAGTTTGCCGTTGTTCGGGATTTCGACGTAGCTGTTGCGGTTGCCATAGAATTGGGTGGATCCGTCTTTTCGTCCGTCTGGACCTGGGGCGATTCTCACGCCAACTCGCCTTGCGGTCGGGCATTTTCGTGGGCTGATGTCACGGCCGCCATTAATTCTGTCCAGTGGATAAACAGCGACTAGAAGTGGAAGAGCTGAAAGGAGAAAAGATGTATGAGAAGGTGATAAAATAATACGGACATGCCGTCAACACTGACGAAGGAGGCTGAAAATATGGATGTCAAAATCTAAAGAGATGCCGGTTGTTTGCCATTTACATGAAGAAAGCGGTTCGTCAACGGTTGTGCGAATGGTAAGCAAAAATGCCTGATGGTGACTTTCATTCGGATTGGCCACTTACCATCTACCCCAAACCCCCTAATTTACCGAGATAGACTACTGACGAGTTAAACCTGATCATAATTCCAAGAGGGCGGCGAATAATTGCAAATGGTAAGCACATTTTCCACTCGGATATTTCAGTTGGAAATTTTTGACTACCTTTCAAGACGTTCCTTTTATTTCGAAGATTTTCCGGTCGGTCGAGCCAAAATTGTCTTACCATTTACATTTTTACCGAACTTTCAAATCTCAAGAGTTTTCATTGAATATGGTAAGTGAGATAGAAAAGTTGGTCTTACCTGGTGGTGGACGAGTAGGCGTGGGTCGAGCTGACGAAGAACAAAGAAAATTTCAAAAGATCAATATCAATAGCGCGATATCGATATTAAATTGAAAACTTCTTTTAACGATAATTCTGAAAACAAACCTCTGAAACACTTCTTTTTCAGAGCTCCGAGTTGTCTCCCATTCAATGCTCGATCGTAAATCTGAAGACATGCTATCCGGCCACGGAAAATCTTTCGATCTCTTGGCTTTTTCCCTGATATAGCTGGGTAGTTAGTCGCCAGTTGGATCTTTCCAATATTCCTCTGAGATATAGGTATGGCATCATTCCACAGAGTGGCCAAACCAGTGACGTAATCGTAGGTTGCCGCTATGTAGTTCCAGGCCTTCGGTTTGATTCGCCGGCTTGTAACAACGCTGATGGTCTGCAAGGACCTAGGCACGAACTTCACCAGTAGGGTGCGCGGATTCTTCATCCAAAGATGTACCCCCCAGCCGCGAGGGAAGAAGTGGAAGATCGGTCCGCTGCCCTCAGGGTAGACCCACACCACTATGGTGAGGGAATTCTTTGTATCTAGGCAGCCCTTGTTGGGAAAGTATATGTAGCTGTTTGCGATGCCCTGGAGATAGTACGATCCAAGAGGAAGGCCGTCTGGGCCTGGTGCAGGCTTGACGTTGACAAGTCTTGCAGCAGTGTTGCGGTTGATGCTTATATCTCGTCCTCTTGTCACACCGTTAAATGGGAATATAGCTCTGGCGGCTGCTGATCCGGTTACTAAACAGAATAAAAACGACAACGATTGAATCGTTTGTGGTAAGCAAGGTAAGGAGGTCACAAAGATCTTTAAATGAATCAATGGTAAGTTAAGAAGAGGCTGAGGGCCAATTTAAACCAAACATCAAATTTAACGCGTTGTTACTTGAATTATATTCCGATGGCTTAAAAGGCGGCTGATCTGTAAAGTGATCCAGGGCTGATTATAACCGTTAAACGTAATCACTTTTTTTTAACTGTTGCAAATAGAACCGTTGAGATTGTTATTAATGATATCAACTTGTAAACTGTCACTGTTCGATTAAGTGGGTTAAAGACTATTCTTAAGCAGGATAGTGTGTGTGAACATGACTGTGAATTATTGATCACAAATTTAACCCATAAGATACCTGAACATGCTTTAGCTCGTATGGCGCCCAGAACTGCAGCCAACGTCCTCGGCGTCGCCGTGAACACGTGCAGCCCATTTGTAGCGATTTTGAATAACTGCGCCTTGCTAAATCGTCTACCAAAGCCAACAACGAACACTTCAATTCCCATGCGCCTTAAAACGCGTCCCACTCTTTGCACTCTGTCTACTGAGCGTGCACTTGCAAACACCACGAGAACGCGCTTGCGTCCACATTGACGCCTTCTTCTGAACAGGTACCTACGAGCGTAGTACAGAGCTTTTCCTATCCTAAGAGGACCCCTTTGAAGGCGAATTCTTCGTATGGCCGACAACATGGAAGACGCCCTGAAAAACCGGTTAAAGCGGAACAGGAGCCTGGGTCTTGACGCGTACGTAACCATGCCGACTCGGGTCTCTTGAGTGGAAATGCGAAGCGTGTAAAGAAGTCTTGCAATGTAACGTGTAAGAAGTCTGAAAGCTCCGCGCCCTACTCGTCGCAAGTTGTAGGAGCTGTCGATAAGGAATCCAAGATCCATATTCGCTCGGCAAGCTACAGAAAGAAAATATAGAGAACAATAAATTCAAGCAAAGCGCATTTTGAACTTGAGAAGATTGCTATGACGAGAATGTTTTAATAATCAAACATTGAGAACTCAAATTAAAATGTGATCATAAAGCAAACCAATTTTCAAATTTTATGTTTTGCTTTTTTCGCATGAAGGCAGAGGAGTTTTTTTATTACCGCTAACTAAAACCGCACACTTTTAAGATTCGTGAATATACATATCTAAAAGTATGCCAATTAAGGGATAAACTGAAGTGAAGGAATCGGGATAAAAGAAAAAAAAAAAA